CCCCCCCTAAATACGGCCTTGCATACATGTAAAGGATCTGGGGTTAAGTTTTTTACGTTTCCTAAGCTACCGTTCGTGCGAAAACAGTGGCTGGAAGCGTGTAACATTCACGAAGAAAATTTACCCAGATTTCCATTTGTGCGTGCAATACATTTTGCATCTTCTGATATCGGCATGAGCGGAAAGAAGGCAGTGCTTTCGAAAAGTGCAGTGCCGCAGTGTACAAGGAGTGGCACGCAAGGTTGTAAGAAAGGAGTTCACAACAATCAGCACGCAAACTGAGTAAGATTTTGATTGAATGCGTGTAAATTTTACATACATATCTACATATGTAGGGTGTATTCTTTCTGATCGAGTGCACGGTTTTCCAAGAGTACTACGTTACCTTAATTCACAAAGGTCCTAACCAAAAAAAATTTTATTTTACAGGAGAAGCAAAAAACAGTATCAAAAGCAGGTAGGGATTTTTAAGAAGTGGCATGTAACTCCGTTGTTTTTGGTACTATCACTTTAGAATTTTTATTGAAGGTGTATTTTAATACATATATTCTACCAAAATCTGTGAAAAACGCAATTTTGAAAAGTGTTGGTTAGGGCCTTTGTGAATTAAGATGACGATTACTACTTTGTCCACCTCATATATACTAGCATGCAATCGTTATAACCGTTGAAACTGATTGTGTTTATACAGAAATGAGAAATACAGTGAAATAGCAGCACGATGAAAGATTATATGCCAGTGCCCAGCCTTGGAATTATTTTGTAACAGCCCAGCGCATAAAGAGAAATACATATGTACATTGTATGTACTTCTTCTTATTTGGCACTACAACCGTTTGTCGGTTTGGGCCGAGACCAAAAAGCTTTTCCAATTGCTTCTCTCCTGCGCGAATTTGCGCCAGTTGGTTATCCCGAGCGCAGACAGGTCCTTCTGCACTTGGTCCTTCCAATGCGTTCGTGGGCGCCCTTGCTTTCGTTGTCCACCCATGGGTGTGGAGTCGAAGGATCTTTTCACCGGAGAGTCGTCATCCATGCGTACAACATGTCCAAGCCAACGCAATCGCTGTATTTTTATGCGCTTAACTATGTCCATGTCGTTAAAAAGCTCATACAGTTCCTCATTCCATCTTCTCCGATATCCGCCATCCACGAAAACAGGGCCGTAGATTTTGCGTAGAATAGTTCTCTCGAAAGCCCCCAAAGCCTTCTCATCTTTGTTCGACATCGTCCAAGATTCTGCGCCATATAAAAGGACGGGCATGATGAGAGATTTGTAGAGCGTGAGTTTCGTTCGTCGAGAGAGGGCTCTGCTTTTCAATTGCCTACCGAGCCCAAAGTAGCACCTGTTGGCAAGAGTTATTCTTCGCTTGATCTCCAGGCTGACGTTGTTGGTGGTGTTTATGCTGGATCCTAGGTAGACAAAGTCCTTCACTACTTCAAAGTTATATCTGCCAACAGTGACGTGTGTCCCGTAGCGCGTGGACTCTTTATATGTTGCCAGGAGGTACTTTGTCTTTCCCTCGTTCACCGCTAGACCAACCTCTTTAGCTTCTTTTTCTAAACTGGAAAATGCTGCGGTTACGTCCCTTTGTTTCAGACCTACGATATCGATATCATCTGCATACGCCAGCAGCATCGTTCTTTTGCTATATATGGTGCCGCTGCGATTCAGATTGGCAGCTCTTATTACGCTTTCCAGCATCAGATTGAAAAAGTCGCACGAGAGTGAATCGCCTTGTCTAAAACCTCGTTTGGTCTCAAACGGCGCGGAGAGGTCCTTCCCAATTTGGACGGAGCAGAAGGTTGTGCTCAACGTCACTCTACATAGCCGTATTAGTTTTGCGGGGATCCCAAATTTGGACATGGCGTCGTACAGGCAGCTCCTCTTCGTGCTATCAAAAGCAGCTTTAAAGTCAACAAAAAGATGGTGTGTGTCGATTTGCTTATCTAGTGTCTTCTCCAGGATTTGACGTGCTGTGAAAATCTGGTCAATGGTGGACTTACCAGGTCTGAAGCCACACTGATAAGGTCCAATCAGCTGGTTCGTGAACGGCTTCAGTCTTTCACACAGTATCGTCGACAGGACCTTGTATGCAATATTAAGAAGGCTTATTCCGCGATAATTGGCGCAAACGGCGGGATCTCCCTTCTTGTGGATTGGGCAAAGTACACTGAGATTCCATTCTTCGGGCATGTATTCATCAGACCAAATTCTGCTTAAGAGCTGGTACATACGCCCCACCAACTCTTCGCCACCGGCTTTGAACAGCTCAGCCGGTATACCGTCGGCTCCGGGGGCTTTGTTGTTCTTAAGCCGCTTTATTGCTGTTCTCACCTCGTCTTGGTCCAGTTGAGGGACGTGAGCTTCGTCCCTATACATTGGTTCGGGTTCTCCTTCATCAAACGCGCCATCTGTTTCGCCATTTAAAAGCAATGAAAAGTGTTCCCTCCATATCTCAAGTGTACTATGGACATCTGTTACCAGGTTTCCATCTTCATCTTTGCAGGAGCTAGCCCCGGTCTTAAAACCATTTGATTGCTGCCTTATTTTCTGATAGAATTTTCGAGCCGCGTTCCTGTCTGCCAGCATCTCAAGCTCTTCGCACTCACGCCTTTCTGCCTCTCTTTTCTTTCTCTTGAAAAGGCGTCTCTCTTCCCTCCTTTTCTCCCGGTAACGCTCAATTGTCGCGCGTGTCGCCATTGGCTGAAGGGTAGCTTTGTATGCTGCGTATTTTTCTGCAGCAGCCGCGCGGCACTCTTCGTCGTACCAGTTGTTTCTGCGCGGTTTGTAGTAACCAACAACCTCTTCCGCAGCGGTGCGAAGGGATTGGGATATGGAGTCCCACTGCTCATTTATGTCCAGGCGATGAGGAGTTGCTTGATTAAGCAGGATTGAGAGTCGGTTGCTAAATTTTTCGGCTGTCCATTGTGACTGCAGCTTTGCGATGTCGAACTTTCGTCGCGTTGCCTGCCGCACGTTTTTTATTGCACAGAGGCGCATGCGGACCTTAGCTGCAACAAGGTAGTGATCCGAGTCGATGTTGGCACCTCGGATAGAGCGCACGTCAAGAACGCTCGAAGCGTATCTTCCATCTATCACAACATGATCAATTTGGTTCTTTGTTCTTTGATCGGGGGACACCCAAGTTGCTTTGTGGATCTTTCGATGCTGGTGTCTGGTACTACTGACTACCATGTTCCGTGCCGCGGCGAAGTCGATCAGCCTCTCTCCGTTGTCGGAGGTGTTGTCATGAAGACTGAAATTTCCGACTGTTGGACCAAATATGCCTTCTTTGCCCACCCTGGCGTTAAAGTCGCCCAGAACGATTTTAATATCGTGACGGGGGCAGCGCTCATACGCTTCTCCTAGACGCTCATAGAAAAGCTCCTTAGTCTCGTCGTCCTTCTCTTCCGTCGGGGCGTGCACACAAATTAGGCTGATGTTGTTAAATTTCGCCTTTATGCGGATTGTGGCGATTCGCTCACTGATGGGCGTGAACCGGGAGACAAGGTGTCGAAGTCTCCGCCCAACCACAAATCCGACACCAAATTTGTGCGCCGTCTCATGGCAGCTGTAGTAGATGTCGCATGCTGCAAATTTTTTGCAGCCATGCCCCGTCCATCGCATTTCCTGAACTGCGGTGATGTCAGCCTGGTATTTTGTTAGTACATCCAGCAGTTGGATAGAGGCACCTTCCCTATAGAGGGTCCGGACATTCCAGGTGCATATCCGAAATTCATAGTCCTTGTTCCGTTTGCGGGGGTCGTCAACGTGTGGGGATGCAGTTATCCGAGGCTTTTTTGGTCTTTTCATTGGCAATATTTTTTACGTGGCGGGTCCCAAACCCAGCGCACAACCATTGCTGGGGTGGATGGTATTCAACCGGATACACATTTGTATAGCGGGCCGCTTGCTCCAAGACAGACGCCCGCTTGCAGCCGCACCTCCTGGTGAGCAGACGCTGCAGACTTCAGTGAGCCCTTAAACCGAATAAGTCGGAGTGGCCCCACCAAAGCTCCCTCTCTTTCTGCCGTGACCCAAGGCTCCACTCGGGTTGGTTACCGCATCTTGCGCATGGGTTGCTCACGTTGCCCAGAGTGCGCGAACGAGGACGCAAGAGTCGGGATTGAGTATAGCCGTGCGACTGTAACTGCATACCCAGCACAACGACTATACCCCATTGCACTCCAACATTGTATGTACACCCAGAGAAAAAATGCTGTAAAATCAATTGTAATTCGAACAGGTAATTCGAACAGGTTGTAACAACAGATTTCACAGGTAAATCACATCCAAAGGATAAATCTGTCAAATTAACAAATACTTCTCCGTTGACAAGAAGTTTAACAGTTTTACTGTTGAATTTACAAATCGTCTGTCGAACTGACATTTTACCAGTCAGTTAATCCAATAAAATTTCTGTTATTTATTAACAGTCCTGAATGTTGTTTTGCAAAATATTTCTGTTAATTTTTAGCAAACGCGACTGTTGTTTTACCACATATTTATGATAAAATAATCGTTCAATCTGTTTATAAAACTGCAAAATTGCTGTTAATTTAACTGTAAATACAGTTTTATTGACAGTCAAAATAGTCTTTTTTTTATAAAAATAAATAAAAATCGTGTTTAAATATGTTTTCCTAGATCATTTATTTCATATAATTTGATCAAGTACATAAAATATTTGCTTATAGCTAACAACATACACTTGTGGTCAGCTGATTAAGTTAAGTGACATTTTGACCAGTTTTGGCTATTTTGCTTTTGTTTATTTCATTTTATAATTTTTAATAAAAGTCTAGCACATTTGATAACCAGCACCACATAAATATCCAAAACTGGTCAAAATGTCACTAAACTTAATCAGCTGACCGCTAGTGTATGTACTTAACAATGGTTTTAAAAGAATGATTTTACATTTTCATTTTATTTTTGTTTAACAATAAATTAAATAAATATTATTTAAGTAGTCACAACATTTTATTTCTTAGATATACTGAACCATCTGCTATACTATATAAATGCATAGGAGGACTAGTAAAAAATTCAATTGCATTAAAACACATTTCATTGGTATTTATTCCAACAACATAAGATTGGTAATGTTCATCAAATTTTTTCAACTGGATTTTGGTAGAAACAATAAACAATTGATTTTGTTTGTCAATTAGAAGTCCTTCGATTTTATATAACTGTAAATTTTCTGATAATCTGGAGAGATAAAACTGTTTTTTATAAACACTTCCTTTGAAGGTCACTGAGTCAACTAAAGTAAAATGTTCTCTTATTAAGTTACATGACTGCAAAAAAAATTCAATTGTACGTGCATTGTCTTCGTTCACTTGTTTTTTTATCTGTGTTATGAATAACACATGCTGTGGGCTCATTATATTTTAAAATAAAATTAGAGAACTGATAAGAAGTTTTAACTGCCAATGAATAAGAAATATTCTTCCGAGAATAATTAACAGACGTATATTTTTTTAAGTCTTTATGTTTCGCTTCAAATCATAAACACCATATATATTTCAAAGGCCCACAAGCCTTTATTGCCGACCCATAATGGACCAAGAAATGATGCTTTGGCTTAAGTAATCCAAATACTTTTAAATATAATTTGTGATGACGAGATATCGTATCTATAAGGAGTTCAATGTCATTTTCAGTGAAAGATGAATATAGGCAAATATCAATGATTTTGATTAATAATGTCATAAGCTTCCACACTTTATCATATCGTGGCACTTTGTCCCCTATAATAAGTGGCATAAAATGTGTGAAAGTTCGAGTTTCACTTGCAGACATTTTTAAATTTGAAGAAGACAGTGTAATTTTAATGGGCCTGAAAAATTTCCTATTTCGGTTTCCCCGTACATAAAATTTTGTTTGCGTGTATTTAAAAAGTCAAAGGAAAAATATTTTTTTTTTATAACGTACAATAGTGATTGGGTGATTTCATAGCGACAAATACCTTCAAAAATTTCGTGCATTATATCAACGCTAAAATTATCAGTAACATGAAAAGTGCTAATATCATTAAATATACTATTTTCTACTATACCTGTTACACTGTAATTGTTTAACTTAAGATCTTCAGAATAATTTTGTATATTTCTTATACAATCATTTTCTTCGACTACATCTTTCTGTAAATATATTTTGCCTCTTCTGCAAAGACGACAAAATTTGTCCGATCGAAATGATTTACAAAAACCAAGTATTGTTTTCATACCTAAGTTATCCCCTAGAACAAGTCCTAATGTAAAAAAAAACATGATGGCTTATGAGCACTTATTTCTAAACCCGTTTCTTCCAAAAATCTAATTTCTTGAAAGAGACCATATAAGGCAGAATTACTTCCAAAATCTTTCAAATAACAAGATTTGACAATCGCGGCAACAAAAATAAATTCCAAACTAGACAGTAAATATTGCGGTATAGGCGGAAAAGAATAATAAAATCCGCATATAGAATCTTTTGTTGTATGACTTCCTAAAGGGTTGTTTGTTTCGAAATCATCAGAGTAAAGAAGATATGGTATAATCAACTTTCCTTTACCAATTTTTTGCTCCTTTGACTTGAAAATAGATCCATTTACAAAATTTGAATATTGCGTTTGGTTTTGTAAGAATTGTGTGTTGTTCAATGTTTCTCGAAACAGAGATTTTAATTCGAAAATTTTTTTAAATTGAAAGCGTAAGGGCATAATATAAGCTTTTGAATTACTTTCAGCCTAAGTAGGATTTCCAAGTCGGATACGTGGTACAATTTCATTGTTTATAGTATGCTCACTGTGAAACAAATTTTTGCTCTGGATGTACTTACAAAATTTATATTCAGTGTTTACGTATTGCAATGGATCAGAGCATAATTCAAAAACTTCGCATAGTTTGTTAGTTAATGGAATATCAATCTCATTCTTAAGTGTATCTTTAATATTATACATATATTCGAAACATTTTTTTGGATTCTAAGAGCATCTCTTCGGCTTAAATTGTTTTTTGGATATAGTTCACATGAAAATATTACAGCTGATTCTATAATTTTATCATTTGGATTGCTCTCCGTTATACAAATATGAATTTCTAGCTTATTACAGTTATTTGATGATCGGTCAGTGTTGTTGGAACTTTCAGAATTCGACTTTACAATATTTAAACTCAAGTTATCATCATTAGCATCTTTTTCGTGCCTATTAAGGTGTTTTGCAAATGACCATTTACTTGAAAAATGCTGAAAACAGTTTTTCTGTGCACATTTATATACAGCAAAATTTTTCAATTTATGTTCACTATTGAAATGAGATATTAACTTTTTAACCGTTTCAGTTCTGTATTCACAAACAAAGCAAAAATACATTCTATTTTTTATTTAATAACGAATTCAAATGAGATATCAATCCACCAACTTTAGGCTGATGTTCGTCGTATTTTGTGTCAATTTAAAAAAAAAACTTTTGGATAAAAAGCCAAACACCTTTACAGTATAAAGGATATTGTACATCAAAAACTTGAAAAACTTTAAAACATAAATCCAGAGCTGCCAAAAATGATGAGAACTTGAGCTTGGTTCCGTCTAGATATACAAAAAAATTATCTAAACAGTTAATACTAGAACCTGTAGCTATTATAATGGGTTGCAAAGTATTATTTTTCTGCGAAAAACGATCCCTTATTTCGGCCAATGTTTCCTCCAAATTTGATGCAGAGTTTACATGGACTAAAAAACTGTCCATTCCTTCCTGAATAGTTACCCTTTTAAACGACGAGTTATTCTTGTACCTGGCAACGGGTGTAATAACAGCATTCAGCAGTAAAGATATAATATAATTTCTAGTATCTGAAAATATAAACGTATGTATGTATATAAGAATAGCTTGAAACTCGTATCAGTTCTTTGTATACCTGCAGCGAGGTTTTCGTTTTCCAATTGAATTAAAATTTCTCGGGAAACTTTGTCCTTTATACTTTTCTTATAATAGCTGTATATTAATGGCACGAAATCTTCCCACTTTGTATGCAAATTTGTTCCTTTGTTCGGATAGAGTATATCAAAATCGCAATTGATCTGAAATGTTGTGAAAGTTTGAAGAAAATATTTATTTATATATTTATTAACACGGAATATAAGATTAAATATAAGTGTTTTTACAAAAGTAAACAAATTTTACCAGCTGTGGTCCAAGAACACAATGTTTGTACAAAGGCCATTCGATTATAAATGCGGATATCGTTTCCCCTCTTTCCAATGAATTCTTGAGATAAATTTTTCTATATAGATGTGTCGTTTTCCACTTATCCACAATTTCCTCTAGTGGGCTATCATTATATTTCAGCCATACTTGAAATTTTTTGGATACAATTTCGTCCAGTTCAGGATTGTGGTCTGTTTTTGTACTCGTATCGTTGCCTCTTGGTGTGTTTGAACACGAAGGCAAATTTTTTCCTTTTCGATTATTAAAATAGCGATCATATAATTTATCACACGGTCGTTTAGAATTTCCACGACGACCAAAATAAGTTGACTAGGTGGTAGAGAACCGAATAATTTAGAAAATAGCAAATAAGTGTGTACCCTAGTAATAGCATAACAGCTAAATGGATGAAACGTATTTTTAAACATACGGTGGCGGACCAAAATCTACATACAATCAATTTTTCACAATAAGTACAACGTTTTGTATTATATTCTTTTTTGCAATTTTTTATAAAAGTATAAGCCTACATAAGACGAATTTTTCACAATAAATCAAAAAA